GGGGGGGGGGGGGGGATTGAACGCGGCAAGAGTGACCACAGGACAAAAATGAACACAAGGGCGAGAGTGAACACAAGGGCGAGAGTGAACACAAGGGCGAGAGTGAACGCAAGGGTGAGAGTGAACGCAAGGGCGAGAGTGAACACAAGGGCGAGAGTGAACGCGGGGGCAACAGTGAACGCGTGGGCAACAGTGAACGCAGCAGTAAGGCTACTAAAAGCCGCACAGGGCAGAGCTGAATGTTCACGGCGGGAGAGCTGCCTAAACTGTCTGGCGGTTTGACCACCGCTGCTAGACAAGTTCAAGGACACCGGCACAGGAGAGGTACACCACCCCTGACGCTACACCACCCCTGACGCTAACAGGCAAATGCCTCCACCGGGCCTCGGAAAGAGGACAGCGGGATGTAACGGACATCTTTCCAATAGTCACAGCAGTGAGTTCTGGGGGACTGTTTCTCCCTCAACACCACAGCATACCCCAGGAAGGCAATTCCACAGTGGGATGGGTAGGGCACAGCCCAGGTAAAAGAAAAAAGTACATAAAAACACACCAAAACCTTCCAGGTAAAGATTTTTAGGAAAAAAAGCAATTTAAACCTTGGTTGTATTTGAGGCACCACAAGGAATTTTTAAGTTGCTGATGCCCGAGCCTCATTCTGGGCAAATCACATCTGGATTTTTATGGGGTGGAGGGTCTCCACTTCTCAGTGCTATGGAGCCCAGATAATTCTAAAGCACTTCTAAAGAAGTGATGTTTTTGCAATGCCTGGATACCTTGCACCAATTAAAGCTGATCTGCAGGAAGACCCCGGCATGCATACTTTGTGTGTGTGTGTGTGTGTGTGCGCGCGCGCGCGCGCGCGCGCGCGCGTGTGTGCGTGTGTGCGTGCGTGCGTGCGTGCATGTGTGTGTACTACCCCAGCAGAATTCACTATCCTGCCAGGGTTTAGGATCATCAACCCAGAGGAGTGAATGAACTGGTACATCTTTCATAAATACATCTCGCAGCTGAGCTTTAGGCAGGAATTAACAACACAAATGCTTCCCAGCTCATCTACACTGAAAGACAAACAAGAACTTAACAAGGAACTGGGGGAGGCTGACCTTCACATTATAAACGTTGATACAGCTCCCTATCGGGGGTCACTTTGTCACTGTCTGGAAGAAGCCAGGGAAAAGTTGAAAGCAGAGTCAAGAGGTTTTTGCTTAAAAGTGAATTTCAAGGTCAGAAATATGTTCACCAAGTTCTATAACTTTATTTCCAAAACACAACCTTTTGGCAGGATAGAACAACTGTTATCCAAACCATAGGAAAACAATTCTGTAAAACATCTCCTTTTACACAATGCCACTTTGTAAGGGTCTGTGGGAAAGCCGAAATGATGACATGTTTATCTATAAACTAGTCCGAAATCAGAAAATGTGGCAAAGGTAATTTAAGTTTTAAAATTGTTGCCACATAGTCTGTTCTGGCAATAATAGCAGAATAAAAGGGCTAGAAATATCAATAACCGTGGGTATTGAAAAAAAAACTTGAGAGAAGAGACCCAGAATCAAGTCGTAGGAGGCTGATGACATTTACTCACACCCAGAGTTGGTTCCACCCTGGGTTTTTAAGCACAGAACCTTATCTAAGAAAACCAGACATGTTTAAAGCTGCTACCTAGGGCTGTAGAGACAACCCAGCAGCCAAGAGTGCTTGCTTTGAGGGCTGCAGTCTGTTCTCAGCAGCCGCATCCTGTGGCTCATAACCACCTATAACTCCAGTTCAGGAGATCTGATGCTTTCTTTTTTGTTTGTTTGTTTTTTTTTCGAGACAGGGTTTCTCTGTGTAGCTTTGGTGCCTGTCCTGGAACTCACTCTGTAGACCAGGCTGGCCTCAAACTCACAGAGATTTGCCTGGCTCTGCCTCCTGAATGCTGGGATTAAAGGCATGCGCCACCGCTGTCCGGCCAAATGCCTTCTTCTGGCTTCTCAGGCACACACACATACATACACACCCTCTCCCAAATATTTTTTAAAAAATTAAAGTATCAGCCTACAGTCTGCAGTGTATGCAGTGGGAAGTTAAAGCAATAGTTCTTCTCAGACTGCAAAGCAAGGCCGTGGAATTACATTCTTCACATTTTGTAACTATATAAACACACACCTTTAATCCCAGCACTCGGGAGGCAGAGGCAGGTGGATCTGTGAGTTCAAGGCCAGCCTAGTCTACAGAGCGAGTTCCAGGACAGCTAAGGCTACACAGAGAAACCCTGTCTCGAAAAACCAAGGGAAAAAAAAAAAAAGGAAGGAAGGAAGGAAGAAAAGATAACGAAGCCAGGATTCTCAGAATCTCCACCATAAATGTGTAATCACTCACTGTACACGAAGGGTCCAGGAATATAGAAATATAAAATTGTAAACCTAAAAAATTAAAAGCCGACAGTCATCATCTCTAAAGGTTAAATGCTAACAGTGGCTGTCTGCTTACAGCCAGCTCCTCTGTCTACAGCCAGGGGTTAACTTTTAACCCCCTTGTCCCTTATAGCCAATAACTGCCTGGACCAAAGTTAACTGTTAATAGATATTTCTATGTGACTCCTAACATGCACCCCATGCCTGATGTTTCTACATGACTCCCAGCATGGACTCCATGCCTGATGCTTACTTTTGCTATAAAAAGGGGGCTTGAAGCCCACCCCCTTCGCCACGCTTCAGAATCCCAAACTCTGGCTGTGGTCTCAGCAAGCTGATAAGCTTTTGTGCTCCAAGGTTCTTTTCTTTTCTTTCTTTGATATTTTTCTGGAATAAAGTTTGCTTCTGGTTTAAAAGACTTGGGTGGTCTGTCCCCCATTATTGAGTGACTCTGGACCCAACAGTACACACACACACACACAGACCACACATCCCTGAAAGGATTTCAATCTTTTTTTTTTTTTTTTTTTTTTTTTTTTTTTACAATTCAAAATGAGGCTGGAGTAATGTAATGGATCTTTCCAGTGATTTGGTTGGGATTGTTTCTCCCAGTTCCCTCAACAGAGAATGGTAACATCTTGTCCAGCATGTCAGTGATGTCACTTCTCTACTAGAATCCACCAGCGCAGGCTGATATAAATAGGTACTTGCACTGTTTGTATACACTGGGGCCAGATCTAGACAGACAAACTTAATTCTCTGCTGTCACTGATAACTCTGTCTAAAACATCAATATATCTTTCTAACACTCTGTAATAAGAAGACACAGAGAAGAATAGGGGTACAAAGAGATGAGTCATATGTGGGCAAATAAGAAAACTAAAAGACCCTACATGGGAGGGGGTGGGGATCAAAGAAGCACAGAGAAGATTGCAGTACCAGCCAGAAAACAGTAGAGCCAGAAAAGAGGCTCACTAGAGACCTGGTAATCAAGTGCCTGTTAAAATGTTTCTATGTGAGAAGTCCCCCGGAGGCCCCATGTTTTCCTATGTGACCCTCTTAAAAGACCGGATCTTAGTTGCACGGTATGAAGATAAAATTCATAAGCATTTCAGGAGGCATATATGATCATGAAGAATATATCCAACTGCACAAACACACAGTCCACAGGTAAATTCAACACTTGGAGCCTTGGGAACTTCTGGTGCCCTGTTCTTTTTTTCACCTGACAGGCAATCATTTTTAAAACAAAAAGCTAATTTGCTTGTGCCTTAATCCCAAGTATCCTGACTTAGAGCCACAAGACCAGCCAATTTTTTTTTTTTTTTATTGGCTTCCAGATTTCTAAACCTAAACCGTAAGGAACCCCAAGATACAGTCCTCATCAACAGTAAGACTTCGTGAGATACCAAATGGTCTCCAGCAAGCCCTGAGAAAATCTGTATTAAGATCTGGTCCCAAAGGCACCGGCCTGTCCTGCACTCTGATAGCACTTATGGTGGCTCCTGGTACAAAGGTCTCTGCAACTAACATCCAGCGAAACAGGTACTTACTTACAAAGTCCACTGCCTCCTTGAACTCAAGTTCACCAAAACACAGCACTGCTAAATGCAACCCAACTCCACGTACACTGAACTAGAATCTGCATTTAAACAAGATGCCCTGGGCGATTCCTATACAGCTTTAAAAAGTTACACTACACCTAGAAACTGAAAGTTTGGGGGAGCTGCCCTAGCCAGGAAGGCTTATACACTGGCGGAGGGGGGATGAGGGGTCCAGGCCACAGCCTGAGAGTCCCTCTGCGCCAGGGCGAACCCTAAGGTGTGTCCCCACCAGCACCTAGGTGGACCACCTCTCACCTGCTCCTCCAGCGGGAGCGGCTTGAGCGGACTCCGCGCCCCGTGTCGAAACACAACCTGCACCATTTTCAGCTCCAGTAGGCTGCGGTCCACCGGACGCTGGCCACCAGGAGCCGCATGCTCGGCCAGGGCCACCCGCCGCTGGTGGAAGCAGTAAGCCAACGAGGCCAGGACGCCCACGGGGGCCCACACGCGCATGCTGGAGGCTCTGGAAGCCGAGGGTTCGGCAGGCGCCGGGGCTCAGCAGCTTCCCTGAAGTTCGCAGGGACTGGAGGGCACGTACATCCAGCCCTCAGAACAAGCGACTCTAGCGGGGCGACCCGGCGACACTCAGGCCCGAGGGGCGGGAGCCTGGTGGAGAGAAAGCGGAGGGAGCAGAAAGACTGCCTGGTTAGTTTAAGCCCAGCCGACGCCGGCCGCTCCCGCTGCAGGCTCAGCCAGGGCAGCAGCGAAGACCTGAAACTTGCACTTCAAAGCAGGTGGAGGGGAGATGGCAACAGCAAGAGTTCCACGGACGCGCGGGACTCGGGTCCACATTTTATAACTTAAGCTCCCATGCAAATTCTTGCCCTCCCAAGGACCTGCCCCATCGAAGTCCGCGGCACAGGAGCACGGGAAAGTGAGTCCAGAGACTTCATCCGCTCTGGAAACTCAGACCTATAAGAACTACAACTCCCACAATGCTGCGAGCGGCCGAAGCCCCAGGGAGGGCAGTTCGGCGGGCCGCCAGCGGTGCTCCAGGTCCCGCCCCACCCCGCGCCCCCTACCCCGGACTCCGCCAATCTTCAGGCTAAGGCAGCCAAGGGGCCCCAAGTAATCAATGGGAATGCGGCTAGTTTCCCCCCCCCCTTGCTGGTTTGCCAGGGGTGAGCAGGGAGGAAATGAGGGTGAGGGGAAGCAGGGTTAGGATTTGGGGGTGGGAAGGCGGAGAGTAGTTTGAATATGGGAGAATTCCCTGAAGTCATCAAAGTAAGATTGCTAAAGCCGAGACCTGAGACATCTATCAGCTGAGTGCTTACTATTTGTGAAGCTACCTTTTTCCATTTTGTTTAAGAAAATTGAGCTAGGGATGTAGTTCAGCGGTAGAGTACTCTCCGAGCATGCGCAAAGCATTAGAGCCGGAGACTGGTAGGGAGGGAGGAAGGTTGCTTTGGGATAGAGCCACCGAAAAGTCAGGGGAGGTAGGGAGGAATGGTGGCACAGTATGGCTCAGTATCCTGCTGTCAGTATCCTGAGGCATTCTCTTAATCTGTTAACTCGGGCACAGTAGTCTTGACTTCATACTCTTGGCTTCAACTCAGAAGTGAATTTCAAAGCAAATCAGTAAGAAATCGCCTTGAAGTCTGTTACTAATAGAAAGAAAAGCAAAGAAAGAACAAAGCACACCTTAGAGCATGCATGGCCTGGCTGTGGGCTCCTCACAGAATTGTTTCAGCATTATTAGAAGCCAATTTACACAGATTTTAGGCAAAAGGATTACGACAGAGAAGAAGACACCCAAGAGTGGGTCTGGGCTTCCCACAAGAGAGGCACAACAAAGTGTCTTAGCAGTTGCCAAAAATACTGTTTTAGTGGCTCTCAAGATACATCTGGAAGGGTGTTAATCCCCCCGATCGAGAACAAGACCACTACCACAGTTGAAAGTCAAATCTGAAGCAAGTTTTCATTAAATACTGGCCAAGTGGATGGGCTCTGGCCAGGGCCATACCGAGGTTCCTGGAAAATGGCCCAGAATCATGTATGGCAAGGGCTTAAGAAGGGAAACCCATAATTCATTGCATTTCCCATCAGGTCCAATCAGGGGCAAGCATGTATCCTGACATACCTCCATCCTACATCTAATCAGCGGCAAGCCTATATCCTGCTTTTGAACCTCCCACACATGTGATCAAGCAAGTCTGCTGCAGATGGGTCAAACAAACTTGTCTAGGGGAATAAAAAACATGTGGCTTGCTCTCTCCCATCAACAGGAGCCTCCGCATTTCAGGAACTATCTATCCTTGGGCAAGGGGCTTTGCAGATCAAAGGCATTTTTGTTTCATGGAAATCTAAGGCATAGTAATTAAAACTTAAAATGTAACCTTGGCTCTCACAGGGTTGCTAAGAAACTTAACTTCCCCCTTTTCTCTTTTTGGTGAGACTACAGGGCATCTCCAGGGTGCCTTGGACGAGTTAGAGTCTGATAAAGTAAAACCAGGAGCCACTTGGATTTCTAGTAAGTCTTAGAAGACTTTAGGTTTACAGCTGGAATGGGAGAATGGCCTTAAGCAAATGCCAGACTCTGGAAGAGGGGCTCCTTTTTCTTCTCGTGTCCCCGTAATTTCCCTTGTCCTTCTGTCCTAGCTCAGATCCATATCCTTTGACTAGGGCTTGCCTCCTGTGTCCACCACCTCCCAGTAGCTAGTCAAAGTAAGTAGGTTGGAACCTTTGTGATAGAGTCACCCCAAAGAGATCCACCTCTGGATACTGCTATATGTGAGCCTGAACCTTCAGTACATGAGCTTTGGGTGAACACTTAGATCCAAATCATAGCACAGGACAAACTAAGACCTTTGGGAACATCAGAAAACACTGCTTTGGGACCTGAGTCATACAGCATAACTCCAACAGCGTGGGGAGTGTGACTTTCAGACAGGTGAGCGAAAGCACAGAAGAGTTTCAGGCCCTGGAATGGGCAGCTTCAGCCTCGTTGGCATTCTTAGCACGCTGGAGAGCCTACAAGTCAATGGAAGGCTGATAGCGGGCTGCCCTACTTCCTCCAGGGTGGACAAGCAACCCTAGTCCACACCCTGCTCTCTGGCATCGTTGGCACTGCCTAGGTAAGCATCACGAGCACCTTTGGCCTGAGTGAGCAATAGCAGTGCAATCAGGTGGTGTGGGAGGGCGGGATGTAGTGGTGGAGGGCAGGACGTGTCAGTGGCGGGTCTCTGTAGGAAGCCTCAGCAGGTGAGGTTGGCAAATGACAGATTCCGTGTGGAGCTGAAAGCAGTTTGTCAGCACTCAGGAGTCCTGGCAGTGTTTAGTGTGTACTGCACAGTAGTGATGGGAAGCCGAAATAGAAAGAAAGGGGAAAAGTCCTGAAATCGTGCTCTGGAGACAGACCCAGGAGGGGGATTCTGAGAAATGGTTATTTTGACCCTAGCTTTACTACAAGGTAGAGCTAGTTTGAGAAGCAAGCTCTTCCCCCCCAGCAAATTTTCCTGAGAGTTGCAGTTAGTATTATTTGAAACTGAATGTTAGCCATGAGATTAAAAATTGCGCGCGCACACACACACAAGCACACTTACTGCTTTATTTCCAGTGGTGAGCATGGTGTCTGATTCATTGTGAGTACTTGTTAGATACTGATTGAAAAAAAAAAAAAAAAAGATAGACTGTGATAGACTATGCCATAGGAATAGTGTAGAGATCATTGACTGTTATGTTATTGTTGCTTCCTGCGTAAATCTTCTGAGTAGTTTGATTTAGAACACGGTATTAGTACTCGAATGAATATCAAGAGATATGAAGGTTACTTTCCCTTGACTTTTGCCTTGATGGTCTGGAAGCCAGGAGCCGAATTTGAAATCAAACTATAATGTAAATGTAATTTTCCCTCCATGGTGTGAGGCATTGTGGTTTGGAAGGGATCAGAAATGGAGCACAGTTAGGTAGCCACGGCTGCGATCCAGGTAGGAAACGTGGGAAGCCATTAACAATAGAAGTTCAGGGGAGGCAGGAGGGAGGGAAGGGTCAAGGATAACTGTTAGATCCTGCTCTCACTCTTCCGGGTCTAACGTCTTACGTCATCGGCGTACTGGCTGCGTGGTCACACAATCTCCGCCTTAAAAAGCCACACATGGAACCCCTGTGCTCCTCTTTCTGTTTCCTCTCTGCTCTGCTCCCGCCATCTGTCTGTCTCTCCAGGCCTGGTTTCTTTCTAATAAAGCTCTTTCTAACTCTGGTAGTTTGGCCCGTGATTTTTCCACGGCACCGCTGACCAACCAGCGCCGTTTCATTCTTTCAGTAACCATTGAGCTTTTGGTCATGTAACTGCAGATGACATCATGCACCTGGGAAGGAGGTTAAGCAGAGGCTGGCACATTAACTTGGGTTGTCTAGATTACAGGTACTTGAGAGGCATCTCTGTAGAAATGCCCTCTATACAGCTGATGGAGTAGGGGTGGCCGAGGAACATATGTGCGGGACTTCTCTGTTCGTGGTTTATAGCTGCAAGAGTTTGAGTGGATAAAAGTCTTGGTGCAGTCGGATGGCAAGAGGTGAATTGAGACCTGAGATACATCTCTTGAATTCTTTGTTCAGGACTTAAGTGTGAAGGAGAGCGAGAAAAGAAAGGTTTTAAGAACGAATGGATGTTGGATGTGTTTCATCCCAGCACTCAGAGGCTGAGGCAGGTAGATCTCTAAGTTTGAGGCCAGCTTGGTCTAAACGTGGGTTTCCAGATCAGCCAAGGTTGCAAGGTGAGACCCTTTCTAAAACAAAAACAAAAGGAAAGCAAAATAAAAAAGGAAGGACTGAGCAGCAGGGTCAGAGGAAACACAACAAAGTGATAGTAATGTAAGGCTGTGGGATTTAACAGCAGTCATCTTTGGTGGATGTAGACAGAGTGGCCTTGGCGAAATATCAGTGGGAATGCGTAGGAAGGTACTGTCGACATCATCAGGAAGGTGAGCAAGAAGAGGAGCTATGGAGCTGGAGAGATGGCTCAGAGGTTAAGTGCACCGACTGCTCTTCCAGAGGTCCTGAGTTCAATTCCCAGCAACCACATGGTGGCTCACAATCATCTGTAACAAGATCTGGTGCTCTCTTCTGGCCTGCAGTCATACATGCTGTATACATAATAAATAATAATTCTTAAAAGAAGAAGAAGAGGAGGAGGAGCTATGCTCAGGAATTGGTGGTGCATGGTTTGTGCCATGAGGAAGATTTGTCTTGTGAAGAGAAATTTGTGTTTGTGTTTAAATGCTGATAGACACAGGGAGAGGCTGAAGATGAGATGGGATGGAGGGTTCAGGAAGCTCTTAGGGTAGGACAAGAAGAGAGATGAACTTAGACCGCATAATTAGGATCAGATGGGGATATTTTATGTTCTCTATACAGACGAGAGAAATAATAGGCACCACAGAGTACGCCGATAACAGGAACCTGAAGAGCTTTTTCTCTTTGATGGCTTCTTTTCTCTGGAAACCCCCAGTGTATTGGCGGGTGGTGATTAATGATTTGAAGTACGTAGAGGGTAAAGAGCCTACTGTGGAGAGCCCAGAACCGATGACTACATACTACACCCACACCACAGACTTGCCTGGGGGCATTAGTGCCATTCTGGACCTGAGTCAGCCAAGGGCACCCAGTTGATTTGGAGAGAGTAGCTCTTCAGACCCCACTTTGAAAACTTCTGGTGCAGAGTCAAGGATCCCTCCATGGATGTGGGATCCTCAGACATTCAAGCCCATCACAAAAGCTGGGTCAGTATTTGCAAAGAACCGATGTCTACCGTCTTGTCACTTCAAAGCATCTCTAGCTTAACTATAATGCCAAATACAGTGAGACTGTGTGGCAAGTCGTTGTTACACTGGAC